TGTACAGAGATGTATGCTAGCGTTCATGAGTAATTAACCGGGCGTGCGTGGACAGTGGGGGGAGGGATAACACGTGGAGGTGCTATAAAGGTGGGAGTGAGGTGTGAGTCAAAGCGTGATGTCAAGACAAGTCGAAACAGTGTGTAATAAATAAGTATTTCGGGTCAGGAATGAGAGAAGAAAAAGGAAAAGGAAAGAGAGGTGGGGGAGGGGGCTCAGATTGCGTATCGGGGGAATCGGAGGGTGTCCCGGACGAAGGCGAGGACAGGGTGGGGGTCGAATTTGGTCGAGATGAGGCGGCGGAGGGATAGGCGCGCGGTCCTGAGCCGGGCGATGAGAGTAAGCCGTTGACGTTGGTGGCCCAGGCACGAGAGGAGGGGGTGCGACACTGTTTCGGGTACGAAGCACAGCGCGCAGTTGGGGGAGGGGCCGAGGTGGAAACGATAGAGGAAGGCATTGAACCCGATGTGGGTGGTGCGGAGTTGCGTGAGGATGCTGCATTGGGGGCGACTGAGTTCGCCGTACATCTTGGAGACAGTATTGGACGGTTTTGCAGAGTCGAATAGGGAGAGGTGTTGGTAGCGCGGGGAGGTAGACCACTCCGTGAGCCAGCGCGCATGGAACGCGTGCGCACCGGCTGCGACGGCGGCTGCCCGGCTCAGCGGGAGAGTGCCCGCGAGCTCGCGGATGTGCGATGTGAGAGGGGTGGAGGCGCCCTGGGCCGCTTCCTTCACTCGCGTGTTGACGGCCTCGTTACCTTCGATCCCGACGTGTGCTGGGACCCAATGGATGCGGATGCGGAGTGTGGAGCGGGCGCGGTGGAGGCTGCGGAGTTGGGTGTGGAAGGCTGCGAGGAGGTACTGGCCCGGCTGTGCTTTGGGGGAGGCGAGCGCGGTGATAGCTGGTTGACAGTCGATGAATATGTCAGCGCTAGTGAGCCTCGGCATGGCCTTGATGATGTCGAGGGTCAATATAGCACCGGTGATAAGCCGTGTACAAACCACAGGTGTATTTTCGCATTTCGCGTCTTTATACTTATAAAGCACGCTCTCTCTATTCTATAAGAGGCTATCGGGAGCTCCGAACGAGTAGCTTAACAGTCACAGAGCTTAGGTTCTCTATTGGCATGATCCTATGGCGGTACCTCGACTTGGGGCCAAAGTACGACTTACCGAGAACAGGACTAACTACCTTATATCAGTACCCGTGTGCGTGCGGATGAGCTGAGTGCTAGACTAGTATCAAGGAGATGGGAAGGAATACATGACATTGCATGCAGGCGACTGGGGCCTTCCAAAACGGCCGACTTCGAGATTGTTTACCATTGTGTCTCTTATCGAGAACAGCGCGACAAGGCACATGACGAGTCCAGACCCTTGGATGGGGCGAGGCTTCTGTAAATAGACACGAACAAAGTGAGTTGCCGACGGCCGAGCATGCCTACGCATCAGAATAGCTGTGCCGGTTAAACATCGAATCACGATGGCACCAGCACTTACCGAGACAAGTGGAACTTTGGTCTATCACAACAACCAGACTAGCTACGGACACGGGGAAGGTGTCCACAGGTAGCCATATCATAGAAAATGAAGACTGACGCTCGGGACGAGCACTAGACGAAGAAGACGCCAGCTTGGAAGCTTCCATTCGATTAACCAATAACTCTCAAACCGATCGAGTACCAAGGAGAGCTCTGACTCATAGAGCCGGTGCATGGCCAATAGGAGTCAGGGGATTCCCTAAGATCGTCCCGCGGCTCCACGCCGGGACGGAGTGCTTTCCGAGGTGTAGTAATAGATGTGTTGTAAAGTCGAGATCCCAGTAGTATAAAAGCACGTAGTTTAGAGAGGTTCTGGAGCAGACTGCCCGACGGTTTTGTGTACAACTCGCGTGCACAACATCGTTTGGTTTACCTTGTTCACAGGCACATCGGTGCTGTGGCTAGGTGCAGTGACATCACTCGGTTTACCTTGTTCACATACGCACCGGCGTTGTGGCTCGGAGTTGTTGTTTAGCTCTAAGACCCAAGTAACCGTTATCTCGACTCGAGTACTGTACCTTTGGCAACGATTGAATTGGATTGGATTGTATCTGTGATCGACTGTGTGACTGAATTGTGAATTGTGTGGACTCTGTCCAGCACTGCAGGTCGTATTGTGTGTGTGTTGTGTGTTCTGTGACTTGTGTTCTGTGTTGTGTTATATACTGCGGTCCTGCAGGAGTGTATTGTGTCCCAAACCTGGAGAAATCCAACAAACCCGTCTTAATTGACATAAACTCGCCGGCTACTGGCCGTTATTGCCTTAAAAACCCACGAACCCACCGCTTGTATGAAGTCTCGAACATAGCGTGTATTGCTCGACTTTGGTTTCACAACCCTTGTCTATCCCACTCCCCTGTTCTCTGAACAGTAAGCGATCTATTGACCTAATACTTGGTCTTTACCCCCGAACACCCGCGATTATCATTACTCATAAAGAGGAGGAGTTGTTGTTTGATTGATTGTTTAGTTGGTTATATTGGTTTAGACCTTTATCTCGGCTTCATAGTTATCGTTCCACCGCACCCCGAGTACCATCGTATCACCGGTTACCTCTGCCTCGAAGACTGTGTGCTCATCCGCAGCGCCCAGGTGGAGGGTTCTGAACACTCCGCTGGGGGCCGGCGCATGCGGGGTCGCTTCCCGCTCCTCGTCCCGCAATCCCGTTGCTCTCACTCCTCTTTCCCCCGCCTCTGCCGTGTTCCCTGCGCCTGCTCCCCGTTCTGGATTCTCTTCACCCTCATCGACTGTCCTGTCACCTGCACCCGTGTTCGCATCCCTGCCCGTCGCGACGCCGCCGTCTGCGTCCCCGCCCACGCCCGTAACTGCCACGACGCTGTCAGCTGTGTCCCTGCCCACGCCCGTAACTGCTCCTGCCGTGCTGACACCCGCTGCGCCCGAGACACGCACACAATGTGCGGTCCCCACTCCAGCCGCGCCGACACCTCCTGCGCCTGACAGTCTCGCATCATGCACCACCGCTGCTGCCCCGACTCCTCCCTCGTAGCCAGACCCGTCCGTGAAAATACACATACCTCCTCTTGCCACGATGTTCTCCACATTCGCCCTAGCTTCATCCTTCATCTGCGCGATGTTTGTCGTGAGCACTCCTCGTGGCAGGGGCTCGAACACGTGTAGCGGGTCAATGACCTCGAACTCCCTCTTGAAGATCGGGAAGGCTTCGAGGAGGTGATGGATCTGGGAGCGGTGGAATCGGGGTACGCGTCGGCAGCGTCGTACGATGGGATGGAGGGGATGGGAGGGCGGGAACGAGACAAGCCGCGCTGCGGCGTTGTACGCGGTGCGGTTGAGTCTGATGTGGACTGGCAGGATGTTTGCGTGGAAGTCCAATGTGTCGGTCACTGTGGTGCGGAGAGCGCTGTGATTAGTTTGCATGCGTGTCGCTGGACTTTCCCTAACACCTTCGCGACCCAGACCGTCCCGGTGCGTCTCGTATCAGCGTTTGACGACACCGGGTGGTACCAGACCGGGAAGGCGTATTCCATCCGCAGGACGACCACCGTTTGGAAGAGTTGGCGGGTGTACGCGTGGGGGAGGCCAAACGTGGGTGAGGAGATGCGTGAGAGGGCTAGTACTGCCTTGGTACCGCGGCCTCGGGCGAGCTCGACGTGCTCGCGGAAGTTGAGCTTGAAGTCGAGGATGATCCCGAGGAGCTTCGCGCTCTCGGACGCGTTGATGGTGGTTCCGTCGAAGGTGAGAGGGAGGGGGCGGTAGTGTTCGGTGTGGGGAGACGAAATGTACGAGTTGGAATTTGGGGACATCGAACGTAAGTCCCTTCCACTTGGAGCACGGGGATGCCTCTCTCGACATGTATCGTTGCAGCTGCTTGACGTTGTCCTCAAGCGAGTATGCGGTCTCGATGCGGCTGTTGTGATCGATGTAACTCGTGGCGTTGCCGTCCGGGTTTCGGAGGAGTTTGTCCGCAAAGATGAGGTAGAGGAGCGTGCTGAGGGGGGAGCCCTGGGGGAGGCCATTGGGAACGGGGCAGGGCGGCGAGGAGTGGTCGTCAAACATCAGAGTGGTGCGGCGGTCGCGCAGGAAGGAGCCGATAAGGCCGACGACTGGTACTCGACTCTCACGCAGGACTCAGATCAGATGTGCGTGGCTCACCGACGGGAAAGCTTGGGATATGTCCATCAGCAATACACTCGCTACCTTCCCAACGCGCCAGGCGTCCTTTATTTTCTGCGTGAGCTGCAAGAGTGCGTTAACAGTGCTGCGTCCGGGTCTGCCACCGAATTGATTCCTCAACAGCAACCCCTCCCGCTCCGCGAACGCCGACAGCCAGTCGGTGATGACGGATTCGACTACCTTTCCAAGGCATTCCTCCTCCGCAATCGGTCTGTATGCACCAGGCACCGTGTAGTCGCTCTTCCCAGGCTTGCGGAGGGTGGCTGTGATGAACACCTTCCACGAGTCGGGGAAGTGGCCGAGTCGCAATCCTGCTTCGAGAATATTGAGCAGGATGGGGGCAACGATGTGTCGTGCCGCTGCGATCACGACGTTGGGTATACCAGATGGGCCTGGGGCTTTCCAGGGCGAGATGCGCGCAATCGCTCGCAGCACGTGCTGGACGGTGAAGGTGGGGTCTGGGGAGGGAGGAGGAGTCGCAGTGGTGGGAGGTGGAGGGAATTGCGGTGGTGGGGGGAAGAACTTGCAGTGGAGCAGCACCGCTTTCTGTGCCGGGGTGGATGCGAACTGATCAGTAAGTACTTACTAGTCTTTGACCACCCCGAAATCTGAGGCAGCATGTGTGTGCCACCGGAGTCCGCTCCTGCGACGTGAATCACATCACCGTCCGTTCCTGTGAGAAGCTGGGACCTCACCGTTGAGTTCCGCCTCCATCCCGCATCAAATCTCCCTGGTTTGACAGCTGGTTCATTTTCAGGGGGAAATTTCATGCAAGAAATGAGTTAAATGGAAACTCTAAAAGGCGGAAGGCTCGGTAGCAGAGGGTCCGCATCTGCTTTCGCAGCGTATTGATTGTCATACACAGCAGACAGTGCCTGTTTGACTCAGGCCCGAGCCAATTAATCCTTATTCATCTTCCGAGTCATTTTGAAAAAATAAATAAAGGAAAGAAATGTACCAGGTGATGAGGTTGTATGGAAAGGAAGTAAGGCTCGGTAGTGGAGGGTCCACATCTGCTTTCCATTCACACTGCAAGCTGTCCAGCAATGCCTGTTCAACTCAGGCCCGATCCATAGTCCTGTATTTCCGTCGATTTTTGAACAAAATCAATTAATACATCAACTTGACTGAGTTCCGAGGTATAGAAGTAAGGCTCGGTGGTGGAGGGTCCGCATCTGCTTTCAATAAAGCTTAACTGTATGTATCATACACAGCAGAGAATGCCTGTTCAACTCAGGTCCGAGCCATACTTCTGTACCCTTTTGTTCAAAATACTGAATCCACCAACTTAACTGAGTTCCGAAGTCCAGAAGTAAGGCTCGGTAGCGGAGGGTCTGCATCTGCTTTCAATTTGCTGAGGCTTTTGCATACAGCGGAGAATGCTTGTTCGACCCAGGCCTGAGCCGTTAGTAGTTCACTATCCTACTTTTCAGTTTTTGAAAACGATTAAATGGTGCTGGCCCATGAGGTTCTAAAGGGGAGAGGTAAGGCTCAGTAGCGGAGGGTCCACATCTGTTTTCCATTTGCATTGGGAATACTTATTCACATACAGCAGAGGAAGTCTGTTCAAACTCAGGCCCGAGCCATTATCCCTCCGGAGTTTTTTTTTTTCGAAACAAAATAATGAATCCACCAACTTGTACGATTTCTAAGCAAAGGAGGTAAGGCTTGGTAGCGAACGGTCGACATCTACCTTCTGTGGCCATGATTTGTTGAACGGTACGCAGCAGACAGCGGCTGTTCAATTCAGGCCCGAGCCATGTTCTCGCTTGTCCCAGATTTGTTTTTGGTTTTGTTTGGAAGGAGTAAAGACTTCTTCTACCTTACGAAGTTCTAAGCAAAGGAACGTAAGGCTCGATGGCGGAGCCTGGGTCCGCGCCTGCTTCAAGTAAATATGGCCCATTCTGTACAGCAGCTGCGCGTAATGTTAGCTCTGTTGTTACCGCGGGGGTCCGATCAGGGTATTCCGTTATTACCAATCATCGGAGTTTGAACTCCTGGCGCAAAGTTGAATTCATACCAGACATGTCTTTTCACCAGATTGAGATGCAGACTACTTCGCGGAGCTGTAAACCTGCCAGTTTACGACAGCCTCCCATGTCCTTATATAGGTGCGCAATTGATTAGAGTCATCTAATCAATTATCAACCTTTTGGTGTAGCGGCTATCTACGCGCCTGCGGCCTGCTTACAGGAGCCTGTGTACGATGCTCTGCCGCTTCACAATTTCTTTAGAGATGGTAAAGCAGGCGAGAGAAAAACAATCAAACTGTCATGTGACCCAGGTGTTTGTCGACCAAAGAATACAAGGATATTCGACCCGTGCCTTCAGCACAGTAGTTTGCCCACACACGGTGGATTCTGAGCTCGCCCGCACACGGCGGATTCCGAGAGAGCGGCGCCGGCAAGCGTGGGACTCGGAGGCAACATGTCGACAGCGTCTCGTGATTTATCAGGTGACTTATCAAAAAAGCTGTGCTCCTTGTCTCTTCATGTATAGATGACCAGTCGAGATCTGGGCTCCGGAAAATTATGAAAAAATTGCTGGAAGGCTTTTATCGATGCTCAAACATGTGTGCATGTATTCTGAGTGGCCGACGTTAAATGCAGTGAGTTGCAACCAAAATGTATCCAGATTCAAACTCCGATGATTGGTAATAACGGAATACCCTGATCGGACCCGCGGTGACCAACAGACTTCAACAAGCGAGGTACGAGCTGCATATGTTGAAGTGTCTGTCTAGCGTAATGTCACGCTGCCACGTGCAGCGCTACCAGCGCTTGTGACGCCACGTCCCACCATCACTACGAAAAGCCTTTTCTTTGAGCTTGTGACTCATGCAGCTCGGTCAGTTTTCTGTGTGGGTCTCCGTTGAGGGCGTTCAACTATCTGAATTTGCTGCGGAATACTCGGCTGATGGGAAGAAAGCAACCTGTTGGATTCCCTCAGAAAATGACAAGGTTTGTCCGCCCCAAGTCCGCCCAACGTCCCCCTTGTCGACGTCGCTAACTCCTCCAGCAATTCTGCATAACATTTGAGAACGCATACCCCGTCCCAGGCTTCATTGTCTCTGGTCGTGTCCGCGTCGACGGTGTTTCCTGCGGGGGAACAAAATTGAGGCTTGCTCCGGCGAGACATATCAGCACGGCCAGTCGCGACAGTGTCTCAACCTCTGCTACGCCTCGCCGGCCACTTGTTTTTGGCAAGTAAGTGTTGATAGGTTCGTTGATTCTTTCTGTGGAGTCGCTCGTCAGAAATTGGGTCTATCAGGGTCAAGCTTCGGCATGTGAAAGACAAGCCGTTGGAGAAGGGGTGGAAAGACAAGAATTTCAGCGCACCGATTTTGCATGAGCGGTTGAAGAAAGCTATGGGCTATTCCGTGCAGTGGGATTATTCTTGATTCCGCTTTTACGAAACGAGCTCTCATCCGTTCTTTTTCAGGTTTGGAGCAGAGTTCTGGAGCAATAAGAAAATCCTGGTCCCCGAGGAAGGAATCGAAAAGCTTGTTACCTTCGTTTTTAAATATCGACCCATTGGTGCGTGCCATGATGTTGGATAGATATGGGTACATTCAGCCCCATATAGATCTCTTGAGGGCTCAGGGTACCGCATCACCAGAAATCAGAAAGAAGCGGGTTGCGTCCGAGTCGGACATGGTGGATCTAACGATAAATGATGATGAGACGGATAAAGCTGCAAAGATCGAGAAGTCTGAGGTGAGAGCAAGTACTTGTCAATGTTCTCGACACTAAGTCTCAGCCACAGGCGCGACTAGGAGTATTAAGGCGAGGCTCCAAACGGGCCAAACACTAACCTTCCGAAATCAAGGAGATAAGGAGGCAGCCGATATTTCAGGCTGGCGAAGTGATCGACTTGACTTGATGTCTTTCAGAATTGCTATCTTGGAGGATCGTTCCTGGCTCTTGCAAATATGTTGTAATGCTATTTGAATTCCCAATTGAGCATGCTCGATCCCACAGATCTGGTGTCTACACAAGCCTAATATTCTCTCTCCACAATGTTTGATTTGACATCACGCCTGCGGAGGTACTCATACGTCTGCGAGGGTACCCATTCGGAGTCATATCCCGTCCTCCGTCCGAGCCGCGTCATCCTCCAATGACTCACCTCTCCCACCTATAAGAACTGCAACAAATGCCTCAATCACCCCTCGCTTCGAGATGGACGCCCCAATAATATTCGACCCCATAAATCCGGCCCACGCCGCGCTCATACCATCATTCGCGGACATCCACATTGCCTGCATCGAAACCGACCACACAATTGCAACATTCACGCCGCCGTTAAATCGTGATGCCATCATCGAGTGGTGGAAAGAGCGCGCGGCCGACGCCGCAGCCGGCAGGCGCATCATTTTCATGGCGTTGGCCGACAATCCCGGAGGCGCAGCCCAGCTCGCGGGATATGTGATTCTGTTCCGACCGTTAACGGAGACCGGGCCGTTCCGCGGGAGTGTTGAAAAGCTGTTGGTTTCCCCAAATTTCCGTCGTCGGTGGGTTCACGACGTCCTGCGCTTGAACATCCGGCTCAAAGTCTACGTCACAGCGGAATTGCAAAGAAACTGATGGAGAAGCTCGAGGAGGTGGCCAAGATCCGTGGCCAGACGCTTCTGGTAAACCCTCTCCGCTCGAAATAGCCGAAAAATCACTAATGAAAATGGGGTATAGACTCTGGATACCGAGACGGGGAGTCCCGCTGAGACGGTGTACCCGAAGCTTGGCTATATTCAGGTGCGCCAGTTTCCAGAAGTCCGGCCTATGGAATTTTGTTCAGTCTGTGGCTCTGCAGCTTGGTATCATTCCAAAGTATGGTGTAAGCCCTGTAGATGGCAGTTTGATAGCTGGTACTTTTTTCTGGAAGCAGCTGTAATAGTGCCGTTCAAAGTTCCCCTTTTTGACTCCTGTTTGCGCTCCTGGTTCGTTTCCTGTTTGCTTCCAGGAGAACAACCAGGAGACACAAAAAGGGACCAAGTAGGGACAGCTTTGCAAAAAGGGACACCTGTATCTCCTGGTTGCAAAGTTGTCCCTACTTGGTCCCTTTTTACGTTTCCTGCTCGGTTTCCTACTCAACCCCAATCAATCTCCGCTTCGGCAGACCCTGCTCTTGAGCCTTTGCCCCGAGAGATCCTATTCCCTCGCCACACTGCGCACTTCATGGATTGTGCACCCTAACCTTCTGAACTACCACTCCCCGTATTCTCTTCAGACTTGAGTCAGAGCATTGATGTATGCCGAGCTATGCCGAGACTCAGTCCGAGTCCGATAAACTTGAATCAGCCATCCACAGGGTAGTAAGGGAACTTGAAGGGAACACATCGAGTCTATGTCTCTATGTGCGCTTTGACCGAAGGCGGCCGCCGCTGCGCTGCGAGGGACATGCACGCACGGAGCAGTGACAGCGCGTGAGCCGCCTGATGCCAATGCGCTGGGTTTGAACTTGTTGAGAGGTTGCCGACACTTGCCGAAGTGTCGCTTCAAGTAGGAATACTCGCCTACTTGCTTCCTGGTTCAAAAATCCCAGCCCTGGGGTTTCAAACATGCTCCTTTTTAGCTCCTGGTTGAGTTCCTACTTCGTCCCTTTTTGCCCATTTTACTGCCAAAAGTACGAAAAGGAAGCAATCAGGAGCGCAAACAGGAAGTCAAACAGGACCAACTTTGAACAGCACTAATCCTCTGTACACCAACATACCTTTCCACTCAATTACTCGGCATTTCGACCTTCAAAGGGAAAGCTAAGTATCCAGAGCGTACCATCTCTGACTGTATCAATTTGGGTGCAGGAATGCGCCTCTGCCAGCCACAGCACAATTAAATTCCTTGACCGTCCGCATCGCAGGTGACGCTCCTCGAACTCCACGACGGCACGGATATTTTTGATGTTGGGCTTGGCCATGGCGGCGTTCCTGGACCCGGGGAAGGAGGAAAATGTTGCTAACTTCGAGATGTACCACGATTATGTGCGTTGAAGGAGGGCTGATAGATTCATTTGTAGCCTGTTGCCGATTATTGTTCAACTTGAAGGCGACGGCGCGACGCGGACAATCGAACGTTGATGGGATCACTCTTTCTCGATGGCCGCCGCCGGCCCACCGCAGACCCATACTATTTTAGCCCCCCATGTGTCCACGGCTGTGATCGCATGCGATAACTTTCTATCTTCTACCCGGATTCTTCTCGGCAGCTGGATTTAAGGACATTAATGTCTTTTCAAGCCTCTGAAATTTTTA